GTATGGTAGAGGTAAGGAGAGCGCTACAGGCATCTGTAAAACACGCTGGAGGCGCTGTCATGATTTGAAGCTGCATTTCAGCCAGTCATGTTGGAAATCTTGGACAATTTGATGGATCCCTCAGAGCCCGGACCCCGACATTATTGAAACAGTGTGGGATCATCCTGACAGAGAACAAAAGGCAGCCTAATCCTGTCCTTCAGGAAGCCTGGAGAACTATCCCTGAAGACTGCTTAAAGAAATTACTGAAAGCTCCCTAAGAGAGTCCAGGCTATGTTGAAGAAAACAGTTGGGCCATACCAAATATTGACTTTTGACCATTTATTTTTGCATGTTTCAATAAGCCACTTAAGCTTTTTTCCGTTTTCCTAGCAAAATATAAAGAAATGAAGGACAGCTGAGGACTTTTGCACAGTGTTGTATAACAGTTCAAGCCCTAGCAGGGGTTGAGAAAAAGCAACAAAAGAATCAAATGCAACGTAAATGAAAAGTAAAAATATTAATTTTTGCTCCTGGAGCCATCTGGTTTCACACGCACACACACGCACGCACACACATGCATGCACCACACATGCACGCACACATGCATGGACGTGCAGAAAAATAAAAGCATCATCGCTGTGTGCCCCCTCACACTGACAGACGTCCATTCATTAGCTCGACCTAATGAGCTCCTTTCATATGTCAGCATATGCTGTCTGAGTATGACATGGGTCCATTGTGTGCCCTTTCTCCTCGGCTCATTCACTCACTACCACACTGCGTCTATTTTCAGTGGGGCATTAGCAGTGAATGAGCAGTGACGCAGATACAGACGCACGTATGAGAATGTGTGTATTCTTGTCCAAAAACGTACAGACAAGGACGTATCGATGCCCACGCACAGGCCAAGACAGTGTGAATCGTTACGTGCAGCAACGAGCTACTTATCAGAAAGACGCACTTTTAAAAAACTTCACACTAACTCTTCTGTTTCATGTCAGCTCCTCCGCAGCTCCTTCTCTTTAAGTTATCGGTTTGAAAGCGCAGCGACGTGGTGCCTCTGAGGCTCCGGGTCTGCTTTCTTACTTTTTCTCAGTGTTGCGACTGATCTGAGCGGCTGAGATTATCTCGTGTCACTACAATGGGAGATTCACAGTATTGCAGCACAGATGGTTGTTTTTATTTGGTTCGCAAATACATCTGCTAACTAATCCGAGGTCCAACGACAACATTAGGAACACATCATATATTTATCTTGCATATGAGCGCACTCATCAGTGCGGTTTATACTAAGAGTTCGGGATTTTCCTCGGGTGTTTTCGCTCCAGTCTGGGAAGTCTTACCCGAGACTCCTGTGAGCTGTAATCGAAGCCAGCTGGACTTGACCTGCTTCCCCTCCCCTCTGTTTAGACGTGAACCAGTTCGCGATTCGATTGTTCAGATTCTCGCTTCTGATTTTTAATTTGGAAAAACAGGGTCGCCATTCTGGAAATGCTGTCATATTTGCCCTGAGCTAACCGCCAGAATAGACTGCACACTCAAATAACCATGAATCATTATGACACCTAGTCTAAATAGTCGCTCAGGTGCTCAGAGCCACTTTAAGACACGTCATTGACAAAACACTGCTGCAGCACAGTTTTCCTAACAAGCTGCACGAAACTGAAGCGATGTTGTAAGATACTGCATCAAGCACAGGGCCTGAAACAGTGCTGCTGCTGTTACTGAGAAATCAAGCGCCTTGCAAGACTCCTTTGGTATCTACTCTGCCTTATGTAGTAAAGTCTGCCTTGTTTGTGTCTTAGGTGTAAGCGGCCTGTCTATGTCGTCAGCAGCGTCCATGACCAAACTGCAGCGGCAGCACCGGCCCCTGGGGAGGACCCAGTCGGCCCCGCTGCCCCAGGGGACCGCGGCCCAGGCTCACGCGCAGGCCCTGGCACTGCAGCAGCTGGTGGTCCAACAGCAGCACCAGCAGTTCCTGGAGAAGCACAAGCAGCAGTTCCAGCAGCAGCAGCTCCACCTAAACAAGGTATTCAACTTGGGTTTTAATTGAACTTGTGATTTGTTTTAAAGGCATCTTGTCTCCAGGCGCGTTTGAATGCAAAGTGTTGCCGTTTTGTTGAATCATGCATCCATGTTGCTTTATAACATGTCGTCTCAGGCGGCGGGTTCGAGTGGCCAGAAATCTGATATCACATTCACATAAACTGATAATTAATGGAGGCTATGAGTCTCAGAGGGCCAGCTCTGGAGCTGTAGTGTAGTAGTTTGCGTAGGCAGCACCGGGCAACACAGCCAATAATGTGTTAGCTTTGGCTGTGTGTGAAGTTGTTGACTTTCCTCTGCCCTTTCTTTCTCTCTCTGTAGTATTTTTGTTTGTGAGTAGGTGGAGGCAGGTATGGGTTAACATGTATAGCTGTGTGTGTGTCTGTGTGTGTGTGAATGCTTGCATCCACGTCTCTGCGACTGTGGCCGAGACAGTTGCCACGGGCTGCGAGGTAACCATGCGCTGCCATGGCAACCGCGCCGGAAGCCTCTGCCTTATATGGGCAGGGAGGAAGAGAGCAGCTGCCGCTTTACCTATTCAAGCAGGGTACGTGCTGGAGGAGAGGTGGGTGGATGAAACAAGGGATTTCCTCTCCTCCTCCTCCTCCTCCTCCCCCGCACTGCTCTGCTCCATCTCACTCCCTTCATATGTTTCAGAGATCTCAAGTGGCAGATTTTTGCACAAACACCTTTCTCAACAGCCTCTGGCACGCCAAGGACGGCTTTCTGCTTGTTTTTGCCAGGACAAAAAAAAGAAGAAAGAAAATCTCTATTTTAGCATGTTATTCTGTCAAATTAATACAAGAGGGGACAAAAGAGCTGGTTTTGTTCCTTTTTTAAATATCTACTGTGAATGTAGATATAGATAAGATTTACTCTTTTTTTTTTTACTTCTACCAAGTTGATCTAAACTTGAGGCCTTTTGGTTTCAAACTCTCACACTAGGAGGTCTCTGATTTGCCACACATGTAAATGTATATGTGTCCCAGAGTTAGATGAAAAGGTTGATTACTGTTCAGCTTCCAGCCGGCCCAGCTCTGTCCTGATGTAGCAAAACCTGCCTACCAGCACCTCTAAACATCACTGCTACCTCATTTTTAAAATATGTGCAAATAGCTTTGTTTTTGAAAAGCTATGATCCAGATTAGTCTTTGCCTTCCTTGAGTTCTGTCACCACGTCTTTTGCACTGTTCCTCTAAAATTTGTCCTCATCTACTTACGTGCATTAGGCACAACATCATTTTTTGACATGAACATTCATGAAATGTGTCATTTTTGTTAGGTTTGTGCATTTTTTAAGCATTATGAAAGTGTCAGCTTCAGCTCAATTACATCCTCACTTGAAGACCAGTGCTACGATTAGGGTAACCAGATCCTAGCAAACCAAAGAGATGATTAATGTAGGGCACAGCCTTCAGTATTATGGTAGTCAAAAAGTTTGATTTAATGTATCGCTACTTTTTAAAATAACACACAGTAGTACGGTGGCTCTGAGAGGTCATACACACTGTAACTTAAGAAAATATCAGCAAATAGAAAAATTGCGCAAAAGGACACTAAACATAGTGGATTCTGAATAAAATACAACAGAAGCAGAAAAAAAGCAAAATCACAGAAAAGTGTTTTTGGCCAGACAATTTGCTAATAGCAAAGGGCTAATAGTAAACATGTATCTGTAGTATTATATTAAAATGGTTATCATTTCAGGTGTTTTCTTTATTAATGGATACAATAGAATGAATATATGATCAAGTTGGGTTTTCTGTTAGCCAAATTTAGGTTGCTCTTGTTGGTTTGCTAGTGAAAACTTTTAATAGCATTAGCTAACGCTAATGCTGAATGAATTTCATTAAATGTAGCATTTTACATTGTACTCATGTAATACAATTACATGGAAAATGACATGTAGTCAAATTAGCTAAAGCCAGCATTTCAGCCATAAATATGTTTGAGTGTAGTGTAGGTTGCCTTTAGCTAACCTTTTTGTTAGCATGTGTCATCCCCTTTATTTAAATGACACTTTTTCAAAGCATACAAAGAGAATAAAAAAAGATGCTTATGTTGCTTATGAGGGCTTACACTACACTACTGATGCATTATTAAATATATGAACTGAGGGTGAGCTAAAACAGCGGTCTCCAACCTTTTTTGCGCCAC